AAAATTTCCGAGTCTTCTTTTGTGACAATTGTGCAACATATTGCATCGTGCAATATCTATTGACATGTAATGTTATATTTTCCGAAACAAGATCCTGAGAAAGTCGCCAGCAATTTTTTTTTTTTTTTTTTTTTATTCGCGCGCGTCGTTGCGATGGCGATTTCTTTTAATAAACGAAGACGTTCCCGGTCTTTATTTTTGACAAATGGAAAGTATTTCGTTGTGTAGTATTTATCGACATGTAACAAGATCGTTACTTTTTGGAACAACATCCTGTGTTGTGTTGTACGTGCAAGTTATGATATGACAAAGGGAAGTGTTTTGATGTAAAGAAATATTGATTTCTTAAGGTACAATTATAGATAACACGATAGAAAAATGTTTTGGTTTTTGTTTTTTACATTACTGACTTGACAAAAGCGAAATATATTTGTTTGTCTGACAAAACGTTCCAAACTTCTCAATGACATATTTGAACTCTAATTGGTTGTTTTCTTAGATATAATATAATTTTTCTTGTAATAAATGGAAAAAAATATTACACATATACGTACTGCGTTGCGCTTTTGAATAAAATTCTCCGACCTATTCAAAGTTTGCCGACGATCCTGAATAGAAGGACGAATGAGGACACTCCAGAGAGGAGAGACGCTCGGCAAGACGATACGGGTGAGGAAAGAGATACCCCGGCTAAAGCTACGGGTCACCTTGGACCTAGACGGAGGCAAGCCTCCATCGCGTCCTGGCGCCAGGACGATGCATCACCGGCGTTGAGATAAAAGTTCGCGCCGTTTTCATTGCCGCGAAATATGGCAGTAAGCGTAACACAAAGTAGAAACGTATAGTGCCGTGTATAGTTATCGCATAGATAGTGTATTCTGCAATACACGCTTGCGTTACGTAATACTTTATGCAGATTACATTTTTCGTGTTGACTTTCTCCGAGTGACGTCTAGAAACGAGAACAAGAAAAACTTACTTTCGATCGTAATAATAAACATAATAATAACGCGCGAATGAAAATGTGCAAACACAAGCCGAGCTGCTAATTGGTTTTGCGGGAGAAAAAATTTCACCAAGCGAGAAAGGAATAATAAGATTAAGAGATTGGCATCTAATAACATAGAGAGCATTAATTAGTGGAACGATTTCTCACTATCGATTCGTGTGTTTGAACTTTCTTGAGATACTAATTAGTGAAGAGAGGATGATATTCCATCGCATGAATATATAACGACGCGAGAAAAGAAAAATAACTCACCTTTCGTAGCTGTGATGTAAATGTTTTTGCAAATACAATAATTTCAACAATTTTTTCGAAATAAAAATACAAATAACGACTAAAAAGAGAGTAGACCAATAAAAAAAAAAAGATCTCTAATACCTATATCTATAAGATGCATGTGTAAATCGTCTCTCTGCGTATATCTAAAAAAATAAACTCGATTTACTCATCAGTAATGTTGCAATGTCTCTTTTCCTTCCCTTAGTTTCTTCATTTGCATTTTGCTTACTGCAAGATAAAATCCAATTTTAGCCTCCCATCTGGATGAAATTACGAATGCGCAACCTTTTAGCAGAGGTAAAAAGTGCGATACTTGCGATTTAATTAAATCATAAAATATGACGACTAAGAAATAGCAATTAAGAGTCTTTTTAGAGAAAAGACTTGCCGATAGAGCGATTTTTGTTCTCGTCCATGTTGTCCCGTGCATTTATCCCGCGTGTTATCACGGTGCTATTTTTCACTTATAGATATGTTTTTTGTTTTTTTTTTTTCATGTATAACACATTTGTATGACAATTTCTTTTTTAAAGCACACATATGACCCATTTCTTCAAACTTGTTTTTTGTCTAATTTTCAATGAATATTAACATGAAAATAAAATAAGTGACCCAGTTGTCATAAAATTCATTTTCATCTTGCGGATGTGTAATTCTCATGTGAATTTTATTGTGCGAGAATAAACGTTGCACCGCGAAAACTGTTTAGCGAAAAATTGTTTTTTTCCTGACGCATTTCTCATTCGTCTAACTCGACATTACTGACGCGAGTCGAGTTTATTATATTATCGCAACACAACAGATATTGTACATTGTTAACTGCGAGCGCGCCGCGCGCGAGTAAGAGCGCGCGTAATTTCAGCTGGAGGGATTAATAATGGTATTCTGAACACGAGATCTAAATTTCGAGTGTGTGTTGTCCGCGTGTTATCGTCCATGCGTAAATCGCGCGCAAATCCTCATCATGCTTGTTAAAAAAAATTTATTATTAAACGCGCTCTCGTGCGCGACGACATTTACAACTAACTCAAAGGAATCCACAACATATTTGGCACGTTTGCATAATATATTACTCATTACAAGAGAATTTCGTTCATTACAAGAGACAAACATGTCTTTCGCTCTGCTGACATAGATGATAAAATATAAATAACGTTCGATAATATATCCACCTGACATTTTGTGTTTCTCACGAGATGACCATTACCGATGTCGCGTTCGTAATTTAAATAATTTTCGACGTCTTCTAATATCAAAAAAAAAATCTAAAAGAAAAAAAAGTAAATTATTCACGCTTAAACGCTACTATTACATATCTTGTGATAAAATAATCATCACTTTGTGACATAAAGAAAGAATTTTATACTGAAAACTTATTTAAAAACATAATTTATCCTTTTTATCTTTTTTTTTTATACAGTTTATATATGACAAGTTTGATAAAACTGGTTTTTGTAGCTCAAAGCTCCCAAACTTAACAGGTCCGCCTCTGATCTCAACTCTCACTAGAATCTTCAACAACCACGGAATGCGTTCGAAAATAAAGTGCATGTGAATATATCTGCACGTGTTTTTATGATAACTCGATGTATATGTAAGTATCCGATGGATGTGTAAGTATCGCGTGTACGTTTGACCGTTTACTCTTTGATGCCGCGGTATTATATTAGAAAAAGAGAAAGAGAGAGAAAGAGAAAGAGAGAGAAAAAGAGAGAGAGAGAGAGAGAGAGAGAGAGAGAGAGAGAGAGAGAAGACTAACCTTTATATATTTATAACAACAGAGTAACCGAGCCGTGATATAATAACCAGACGCAATTTTAATTAGCATTATTGCTCAAGAAGTTTGTCCGTGTAGCGCAGCGTGCGCTTTTAACGAGGGTGGCTTCCGAATATCAAATTACTTTGTGGAAGATTAAAATCGCTGCCTAACAAGATCGGCCAGTAGAATAAATCTATCTCGAAGATCTCCGCGCGGCGTTTGTGTGCTAAAGGGGAGAAAGAAAAGTGGAAAGATGATCATTAGGATGTGAGAAAAAAAAAGGATAGAGGATCAAAGCAGATATTAGTCGAGGCGAGGATGTGCGCCAGACATCAAAGGGAAGAGGTAATATGCATATACGTAATATCTAGCGCGCTCGTTACAAGAAAGAGAGAGAGAGAGAGAAAGAGAGAGAGAGGGAGAGAGAGACGATTACTTTACCTATTCATCTTGGCAAAAATGTAGAAAATAATGAAGAGACGAGGCAAGACGCGCATTGACGGTAAGTATGCGCGGTTCTTTCACAGATACGATTAACTCTCTCTCTTTCTCTCTCTTTCTCTGAGTTCACAAAGAATATTTAGATATTCTTCCCTTGTCAAACTGAATAAATGTTTGATCACATAAAGCGATTTTGCAAATGCTTTAAGACGCGAGTATGAACATGTACGAGGGGCGATTGATAAGTATCTGATACGACGCATAAATAGTAGCATCACATTGTTGACAAGTTTTTTCATCTTTCACTCTCGTTGACTTTTGACACAATGCATTGGCTCAACTGTTGCAATGATCAAAATTTACAAGAGTTGAATTTGCTGTCTCCTTGTTCGCCAGATGATGACCACAGTGCGATTTCCATTTATTCCGAATCTGACAAAATGGATCGATGAAAAAAAATGTCGAGCAACAACAGAGTGTCATCGATATGTCGTAAATGTACTTTGGCGAGCTGTCGCACAAACACGGGCGATAATGTGCCAGCGTTTGACACTTGTTACTCCAAAAGATGCCAAACTTGTCAACAGCAATGTAATACTATTGTCGTTTCAAATACTTATCAATCGCTCCACGTATGTAGCGTTGAGAAAAGTGAGACTCTTGCATTTGATGCACACAAAACAATTGTTAAAAGCGCGAACGCGATATACAGAGTTTGTCGATAATTAATTATAAAATTTAATTGTAACTAAACTGATGCTCTTCGAGGCGAGTGTCGCAATATCGGCGAACAGAGGCCACGCTCATAGTTTTTCAGTTTTCACAACGCGTGAACAACACGTGAATACAAACACGGCTGCCACAGTGTTCTCAGTTTTTGGCTCTCTTACAGCATGCCAAAGCGGTGGAGAGGATGCGCACAACACAGCAGCGAGTTCTAACTGCATGAACTTGCTGCTGTTGTGCGCATCCCTTCCACCGCTTCAGCATGTTGTAAGAAAGCCAAAACTGAGAACACCGGGCTGTCAATGAGGTAAATACAAAATATGATATGAATTAAGTAACTTAAGTGTGTTCGAGTTGAAACTCGTTAATGAAAAATGTTTTTTTTAGCAAGTACGTTTTTTACGTAATAATTCTGAATTACGAACTTCTCTGCTCTCGAAAGAAACAACAAATATGTAAAATTACAATACAACGAGATTTGTATTACAATAAATAAATTGTTAAACGCAATCTTCACAAATTCAACAAAATGCGACGAGTGTTGAAATTTTCAAAGAACTAGTAAAAGAAAAAAGAGACGATATAGAGATATGATAATAATAGCACGAGTTAATAACGTGTCGTCAGAGTCATTATCCCGACATTGTCAGTGTGTTCGCATGCATAATCTCGTTAAAAATTTATTAATCACGCTCGAGCACGAGAATTGGAGAGCGCGGGAGTGTATGCATTATCTGCCACACGTCGCGCGCTCATTATACGAAGAAAGATAACTTCATTTTCACTCACCTCCACCAGAGTGATGAGGATGATGAAGAGAGGCGGCGGACAACATGTGTAGTGATCGGCGTAGTACTTTCGGTCCCGCTCTTCCGTGAGAAATTCATCGCCGATCATGCGGACCATCCTGAAAGTACAAAAAACGTTGCAACAATTAAATAACATAATTAAACAACGTTTTTCTACTAAATATTTCCCCAGAGCGCGTACTACAACAAAATAAAATCTATATATCCGATCTAATCTACTTGCATATTAAATAAACATTAAATAAACATGAAATATAAATTTTGTTCCGCGGTAAAAGAATATCAAAAAGTAAAAAAAAAATATATATATAAACATTTAATTATATTTATTATAATTAATTAAAGTAATGCATTTCGCAAAAAAGTAAAAAAGTTTTTCTATTTGCAATGAAATATAAACTTTCTCTTAATTTGAATGTTTACACGTAAATTTTAGACCACCATATTTGTCAAAGAAAAACAAGCTACTTTTATTTGAACACGTTCAAGTCGAATTAATTATCACTGCGAGAAATATTTAAAAGTAATAAATCATTTTTGAAAAAGTGTATATTTACTATAAGAACGTTTGTGCATCAACGTAATTACGTGTTCCCAAATATAAATGATGTTTGCTAGATAAACAAGTCGATGGATTTGAAACGTGTTTTTTAATATGGAATTCATAATAGCACGTTTTATTTGCCCCATTCCCGTAGTCGCGGTATGCCAATAAACGTGATCAAAATTTTTAATTAAACCTCGTCCCATATTTTGCATTTATTACAAAATTATAAAGTGCAATCGAGAAAATCCCACTTGACTCTTTTGAATCCGAGACTTTGTAAAATAATGTGCATCTAATAGAGAAAAAAAAAAAAAAAAAAAAAAAAAAAAAAAAAAAAAAAAAAAAAAAAAAAAAAAAAAAAAAAAAAAAAAAAACAATCGTAAAAATAAAATCCATAACTCGAATGTACAAACGCAGATTTATTGTACAATAAAGTAATCTACATGTATATTTGCCTAAATCACACTCCCGTTCTTTGTCCAAATAATCTTTGTCTTTTGCTGTAAACGGTTTTTTTTAATTGAACGAACGCCGCGGTAGCCGCAGCGTATTTGATTACATCGTGTAAAAAAACGATGTAAACCGAAAACAAATCCGACCGCTCTATTGTCCAATCGTTAATAACGAGATGATTTGCGAGAAATACACCTCCGATAAATTCAAGACACTGGTTGGGAAATAAATTGTTTTCCGCATATCTTAATCTATCTACACTGGTTTCACTAATTCTGATCTCGTTCTCTACCAATTGAGAATCACTCGATACAATAACACGGGAGCGAACAATAAAATCGCGTTATCAATTTGAAAAGCTTCTTTTCGTCGGTAACAACTGGTGCGCGCGGTGCATTGTTGTCGCAATTTCGCATTGCGCTCGAAGATAATCGTAAACGCTCGGCTACGACAACGAGAGATATTCGAGTAATTAAAAAACAATTGAGGTAACGTAATTGGGCTTAATTAATGAAAATATGATTGGATAAAATCTGAAATGACGAAGCAATTTCTAGGACGAGGAAAAAAGCAGGAAGCTTAACAATTGCGGAAACAAACATTACGCAGAGAAAACGGTAGCAATAATTGCGATGCATAAAAGAGAAATTAGCATAGTAAAAATAACGAACAGAATTAATGTACAATAGAAAGAGTTGTAGCGCTTGAAAAAAGATACTTTTTTCTACAAAAAAAAAAATGCATATAATAATACTTTATATAAAATAATACTACTTTATATAAGTAATTATACGCGTGTTTCATATATTATATATATATATATATATAATCATATATAAGTCACATATCTGTTACACAATATTCTCTACTACTTCATTTAACAAAATCCACCGAGTATTTCATTGGAAAACTATAATGATAATCAAATTCGCGCTGGATCGTGTATAAAAGTTAGGAAATTAATCCGATCCTCCAGAGAGAGAAAGAGAGATAATGTTCTTCTCAAACTAATCGTCGGTCTTCATAGCAATTTTGTGCTCGCGTCTCGTTAATTGTCGCCAGGGGTAGTGAAATAATGAGGAATTAACTTGGGCGAACCTCTCTCTCCTTGTGCCGGCCGATCCCCGAAGAAAAGAAAAACACTTTTGAACAATTACGTGCAAACTCTCTACTACCCTCATAACCTTCATTATTTCAGAGCATTCTTTTGTTCTCATTTACGATTTTCATTACAAATGGAATATCGCCGGGGGTAATTCTTAAGAGCAATAAAAACCGACTTTCCTGCACAAGTAAGATAAGATGCTGATGACATTTGTATGTATATGTATATTTTTTTCATTTTTTGTTGTAAATTTTTACTTCACTCAAATTTTATTTATTACATATAAGTATAAAAGAAATTTTTTGTGCATTGTATAATAAGCTTTTTATTTTTGCGCCACAGAGCGATGCGATCGCGACAATATCTCGCGCCAATTAAAACGCATCAGCGCGGAAATGATTCTGCTCAAAGCATGGTATCATCAAGCATGTACATACATACAGGGTGAGTCTGATGAAAAAGTTCAAGCATGTTTTTCTCAAAAAAAAAAAAAACAAAACAAAAACTGTTAAAAATAACAAAAGACATTATTAACTCTTCGCACGTAAACACGGATCTCCGAGACCCACTCAAAAATTGCGCGTCGGTGTCTAGTAAAAAAATTTTTTTTTTTTTTAACTCTCTTCGAAACTACTAGAGATTTCTTAAATTTGGTTTTTTTTATCGACGCAGAATCAAACTTTCGATTCAAAAAAACAAAATTGAAAAAATATTGATTTTTCGCGAAGATAGTCGATTTTAAAGTCGCGTGGGTTACATAGACCTGACTCGTAGGTTATTTTTGAGATCTGTTTGCAAAGCGTTAAAATTGTAAGACATATAAGGAGACATACTATTATGATCTTGGATAACCTTGAGTATTTTTGTTTTTCACATTATCAATCAAAATGGTTTTTCTTAATAGAACAGAGTACTTTGCCAAATCACTCTGCCAATAATATGTGAATGAGCTTAGTAACTTTTATATTATAGAGTATTTTTCTAAAACTCTAGACACATACTCGTAGTCTTCAAAAAGCTTGCTTGGACTTATTCTTGAACAGTTATTTCACAAAAAATAGTTTTTATTCTTTCTATTATTTTTCTTCGAGTGATAGAACGTTGAAAAGTAAGCTCTTTCACTCTTCTCTATCCAAGCAAGTTTTCTACGAAAACTACAAGCATGTCTGGAATAAGGGCGAACATTTTGAGCACTTATTGTAATAGTAAAAAGATTTGTTTCATATTTTTCATTCTGACTAATTTTGTTTATATCTCGACAAGTGACAAGTGGTTGAGTTTTCGTATAAAATACTCTAATATAAAAGTTATCAAGCTCATTGAATACTACTACAGAGTGACTCAAAAGTAGACTTTTTCCATTAGAAACAAAATTTTGATTAATAATGTGAAAAAAAAAAACAGATATTCGGTTATACTCAAGATTACCATAGTATGTTTTTTTAAATATTCTACAATTTTGATAATGAATGTCTTCTTTTACCTTTTTTGATCATTTTTGAGAAAAACATTTCTGAATTTTTTATCACCTTGTATATACCAGAAAAACACACATATAAAACAGATACCTTTATACGTCATCTCATCAATGCAGGGAAAATAATTCCTTTAATTAGCTTATCTCGCGCTAATGAAAATCTGTAATCGTATCATATATTATTACATATATATATATGTACATATAAGTATGTAATTTACCGCTGAAAATTGCATTCGACGAACGTACCTGTATGTTCAAATTTTCAATAATATAATTTTCTATGTAAATCAAATGCCATACGACAAACACGTGGATCATGACACATATTAATCTTTAACTGCGATTTTGCACGCTCCACTTGCAGCTGAATTTATTACTTTTTATTTACATAAATTTCGGAGTCAAAGTTGATCGCACTATACATCTACAACAAATATTATATATAGACGTTTAAAAAATTGAGATCGCAAATATTTTGAAACATTTAAACACTAAGTTTACATGTTTATGAGAATTACATCGTTTATATGCATATGTTAAAGAGAATTGCAGCATAATGAATATCTTCCGTAGAGAAGGAAACAGAGGGAGACTGAAGAAATTCTTTTTAAGTGTTCACTAACAACGCCTTGCGGTTCGCGTTAAACGCGCACTTAATTGCCGGTCGCGCGAGACATTGTAGATCGCACGAGCGATTTCCAATTAGCGATGTGACTGATACATCAAGGTTCAAGGAAAGGGGTCGTCTGCGTGTATAAAGCATCGACACGAAGTACAGGTGCGCGCGCACGCTCGACGTATGTTGCACTTGTTGGTTGAAAAAGAAAAAAAGGAACTAGACGGGAAGAGAAGCAGAGAAAAAGAAAAATAAAAAAGAGAAAAAGAGAAAGAGACGGGAACACAGAGACAAAGAAAAAACACGTTTCAAGGATACTGATTAATTGCTTTGGCGGGATATATCAAAGTTTGTCTGTTGTCCGTAGAATTGCAAATGAGTTGCGCCGAATTGATTGAATGTACCGGACTATGTGTCGACGCAAGAGCCGGACATTACAAGGGAGAGGAAAACGCCCGCGGTGCATAACAAAGAAATATATTACGTATTTATGTCGAGAGTCAATTTCGGCGTGTCTTAATTACGCACAATCGTGACAAAAAAAAAAACCGGAGCGATCTCCACGATCGAGTGAATAATTCACTCAAACTCAGAAAGAGAGAAAGACCGCCTACTTTACATCGGAATAATTAATGCGCGCCAAGAAATAAGTTGATGTTGTCGAGCCCTGCTAAAAATTGCCAGTTATGGAAATGGCAGCGCGAGGAAGCGCGGGCCGCTATCTTTATCAAAAAGTTCCGCCGAGTTGTTTCCCGCCTAAGTTCCAGTATGAATTTTATACGCTTCTTGAATTTTCAGAGTCTAATAAATGTGATTAAGGCGTCCTAAAGATCTCACCGAGCCCCGATCTAATAATTACTGTGTAAGAACAAGAGGAAACAAAATTAATTATGAAAT